TCTGATCAGCCCAGCCTGAAAACAGTAGTCAGTCACTTTCATATGATATAGTTTCTAGTTCATGCATAACAATATAAATATAAACAAAGACAGGAAATGAGCCTATGGGCATAGAAAGACAAGGATCTTTTAATTCATAAAACCTGAAACATCTGATGTAATAATGTGCCAATCAGTGCTGCGGCTGAATACTCGCCAGATTTTAACCTCTCATCCAGCACAGTTCGCCTTGAACAACTGAAGCTGCCAGCAACCTAACAGATACTCAACGTTCAAGCACAATGGAGAAAGAAGAAGAATCAATTGATGGAAGCAAGGCTTTCCAAAAGCTAGAACAGTGAAAGACAACACTTGAGGAATTGAAACAAACAAAAGAAAAGTAATTGCTCGGACATACCCTGGTTCCAGAAACTAAAATATCTGGATGAACAATGAGAAAATTCTTCCCGCGGTTTATTTCACATTTTCCTTCACTGTCAAACTCACCGATGACATGAATAGTATCCCCTGGTGCAACAACACTATAGCACCTGAAAGGAGATTTATGTTTCTCATCAGTACCATGTCTGTCAGCAATTACAATTGCAAAGCTTAAGAAGAGAAGATTTCATTCCTCTTCAACAAATGGTTCATACTGATAATATATAACAGTTTCTCACAACTTGAAGGTACTAAGAATAAAACGAAACAATGCAGAAAAGTGGATGAGACTTAAATATTGTCTTCTGTCTTCGGGTTTAGGATAAAGATGCCTTTGTATACTCAAATGCACGAAAAACAAACATAACCTGCTACCTCAACATCAAAAGACATATGATGTCAGAGGCCCAGAAGAACAGGGACAAAACTAGTCATTAGAAAGTCCTTCCAGTAGTAATCTCTGTTTGACATGATGATCTCATTAGATCTGACAGTTCTAAAGAAGCAAATAATAATATAGGCAACACAATGCACATTGAGACTATTATTCTGCAAGACTAAAAATCGTCGCAACTATACTTGTTGGTTGGGAAGATAATGTAAGAGTAGCAGTAGAATTTGTGTTTTGAGTAGCGAGTCATTATGAACAGGAAGGTTCATCTTCCATCTTGTGCTTGTCCGCGCTCTACTATAACAGAGATCGAGAGGAAGCTATTGAAGAGAATTGTTTGTCTATTATAAAAGTGACTGTCAATGAAATAGCGTGTTTGTGAATTTATGTTATAAGTATATTCAGCAACTTGATGAGAGAAGAAATAACAGAGATTCAACTCATTACCACTCATCCCTCAATTGTAAAACTCTTTCTTCTCCACCTTGTTCATTCAGCAAGCGCAAAACCTGAAAGTCATTGACAGGTGTCCACACATCACTAGTTTTATTGAGAACTCAAAAAGGTTTTATCAAGGCGCTTGGCACAAACCTTGAAGGAGCACTGTCGCCCAGATGTTTCAACTTGTTCATGCTTCTCAGAAACCTGTAGTTTCATATGGATTAAAGTAAACTGATCATAATTCTCATGAAGGGTCTATTTACATAAGAGAAGAGCTGACATACCTCCAATACAAGAAAATTGATAGTTGACTCTTTCCTTTGGTCACTTGAACAAAAGTTTTCTGCCAATTTTTGCAAAACGGCAGTTGGCTTAGCTGGTCCATCATGACAATGGGATGCGATTTTCTCTTCACATTGTGGTTCAACAGAAATTACATCTTCTACTTGGTCTAAAAGCTCAATCAATGCCTGAAACAGGATATATAGACCTATAAAACACTGGGACTGTCGAAGTATGACTTTACACCTTCTGCACAACATGGGTTTACAAAATGAGTAACAAATGTTAATGATTACATTAACTGAAAATACCAGAGCAGTCAAAGACCTTTTTGTGTTGCCTGGAACTAAACTGATCACTGGCTTCATTAGAATCAACCACGTTGGCAGGCTGCATTAATTGCCAGAAATTATCAGGAACATGTCTTCTACAAGAAAACTAACAGATTTTTTACTTGTTTGATGATGCAGATACTACCTTATCACTGCCGTATGTCAAAGATGGTGGAGTCTGAAAAGGACTCTGACTGTTGATTACTTCAGTTTTGCTCTGGCAGTTGGAGTTTCCATTGTTTTCCCACAAATCCATTGTGTGATCTGTGTTTTTGTTTTTCATGCTAGCCGTTTTTGAGCATACTAATGATTTATCAAGTGCCTTCGGTGGAGGTGAACAGAGCCATTTCTCAAACTTTATTTCTGTCTCAGGAGGCATCTGTAGTAACCATTAGTGTTAGTATTATAATAATCATTACCAAAGCATGTCCCACAACATACTGTACATTATATTAGTGTACCTTTTTCAGTGAACATTCTTGAATATTTAAGGAGTTGAACCGTGATGAGTCCGCCAACACCTTTGCCATCTTTGGTAATTGTTTGGACATGGCATGTAGTCGTTCATTCACTGGAGATATTCTCCATGTTACTTCATCACCTCCGTCATCCTGGCTTTGCTTGATCAACTAACAAACAACAACATATTAATTCATTAACTGACAAGCAAACTTGGAAAACTTTTGAATCAGTTAGATTTTGTTCTTTCTTAACCATGGATGCAATATTCTAAGGATCCGAAAATATAGGCTAAAAGGTGCATTTAAGTTTATTAAACGACTGGTGGATTCAAAGTCCTCATTGCAATATAAAAGAGGTTGCTGGGGGCAGAGAAGACCATCAACATGTCTTCAAAATTCCACAAGCTGGAAATCCATGCCATGTCTACACAATGTTTGTGATAGTTAGGAACCTAGACTCCACAGTTTTGCAGCGAGAGATTAACAACCTCAACCAAAATTACTCTTATAAAGCAAACTGACCCTACACAAGCTAAGTCCTTAGCATGGAGCAAGCAGAGAATACGTCTTAGTTTACCTCCTACTTTCATTGTCACGTTTGAAACATATTGATGGGAAATACATTTTTAGTGGTTAGAGTTATTACTCTCCTACTTCATTTTTATAGTAGTTAGAGTTATTACTCTCCTATATAATATGTTATTACTCTTCCCTTTAACTTCCCTGGTTTGCAAGTTCCCAAATTCCACATAGACAGCGTATCATCTGCTAAAAATTTGTTCGTGCTACTTTCTTCCTCTCATAATGGATTCAAATTAGACTTGCTACTGCTTTGGCTTGACCAAGCTTCCTGTTCCAGGAATAACCAAGTGGACAGAGTGTTCTCTTTCCCAACTTCATATATAAAGTAGAACAAGAATTTGACCTGCTACAAATAGTGGATACTGCTGAAAAATGAGTACTTTAGCTTTAGCTTCACTGACACAGATAACTGCATTGCCTAAAAGTCTTTGTTTCATGATATTACATCACAGAGCTTACTGGCTAATTTCCTCCCACACTTTACCTTGACCTAATCCCTCATCACGCAACTTCTTGTAGAATGAGTCTAAAAAGGTTGCGATCTTGTAATTATTGAGTAAACAAGGAGATTCTTCGCTCATCTACACGCATTGAGAAATTAGTTCTGCGTAACAATCATCAGAAAATAAAGACAATTACCATTCCTGGAGAAAACTTGAATCGCTTGTTCAAAGATACAGACTTGCAAAACTCAGGCGTTACTTCTGCATCATTTCTCTCCTCCCCTGAACCTGCAGCCACCACAATCTCAGTAGGTGTACTGTGAGATGGACTACTCGATTCATTGTTTTTCAAACTAACACTGCTTTCTTTATCCTTAAATCTCTCAGCTACATCAACTTTATCTGATTCGACCACATTTCCATTGCTTTTAACTTGTGACACTGGCTTAACCTCATCAAACTTATTGAAATCCAATCCATTTTCACCTTTCTGTGCAACGGAGTTTGTTTCATTAGAATCTAAACACCTTAACTCTAAATCATTTCTAGGAGTTTTGGATACTGATACACTAGAACTTCCTTTAGGGTTTTGCAATGAATTGGGATTGGAATTAGAATTGTGGGGAACAAGAAGGGACTTGGATTTCTGTGAGAGTGCATTTTGGGTGTGGCGTTCAAAGAAATGCTGGATCCCGAATTTGGACGGCTGAGATTGCTGCTGCTGTTGCTGAAGATTCTGGTTTTGAATACTTGATTTCTTTGTTGATCCTGAACTTGTTCTTTTCTTTGGAGGCATTTTACGTCCTGAGCTTCTGTTATTCACCAGAGAACAACTAGGGCTTTAAGTCAATCGGAGAAGAAAGAAGTTGAAATTGTGTAAGAACTCAGAGATGGATTTTCCCGCCAAAAGAGAAATGGGGGAATATTAGGAGGGAGTGAAACTGGACCGTCGGATTGGTTACCAACGATAGCGATAAAAAGTTGTATATATTTATTTACAGTATAAACAAGCAAAAGTTTTCGTTTTTTCTAATATTTTAATTTAATTGATTTACAGGGTAATACAAGCCTCTTTTTCTTTTCAAAAAATAAATGCTATAATTCACAATTTTTAGTTTTAATTTTAATTTTTACACTCTAGATAAGAGAAAATGTATTTCTTTTAAGAGTATTATCATATTTTCTTGGCCAAACACGAAGAGAAAAACGATTTTCCTTCTCTTAAATCTCATTCTAAACAAAACATTAAATGTTTTATATATGTGTGTAAAAATTTTCTATGTGTAAAGTTTAAATAATCACCGAGTAGTATGTATGGAAAGATCTTCTGGGGTAGGGGAGGATCATTTCTCCCAAATGAGACTACACACCATATAAATTCAGATTTATCCAAGCTCACGAGGATATCAAATGAAAAAAATAAAAAAGAAAGTTTTAGAATAGGTTGAAAAGAAAATCCAAACTAATTTCTTAAGCTTTATCTTTTTTTTCCTGGACCCAACAATTTATTCATTGATCAGAATCAAAATATAAATCCTTTCAAATTTTACTAAAGCGGTTTTTACTTTTAAATCAAAGCTCAGTGGAGAAGACGAGGAAATAATATTGTTTTTGTTACTAGACAATAATCACAGGCAGAAAAATACAATTAAATATAAATGTCAACTTTGGCATAATATACAAATTAGTACTGATAAATAAACGAGCTCCAAAACACAAGATGCAACTCAATAGTTTTAATCTGTTCTTACTACAACAACATACCCAGTGTTTACCCAGTGTTTGTGGTAAATAGACCAAGGAGCTGTTACATGTATTAAAACAAGCAAGACGAGTATTACCCCAAAATGATTGCAGAGGCAAAGCAACTACACAGTGAACTTGTTAACAGATTCCAAAATCAAGTTTACATTACATGATCTCCTTCCTCTTTACAAGTCTAGTAAGACATCCAAATTGTGGAACATGTACGAGAAATATTATCTTGCACTGAAAATTGGTTCAGCATCCGCACTTGGTTGACTTCTTCTAGTGTACTTGAGTAGTAAACCTTCTGAAGAAAGTCCTGGTACCTTCAGATCCCTATACATTCATAACAAAAGTAGAAATGGAGCATATCATATTCAACCATCAAGTACGACAAAAGAAACAGGATTGAAATCATAGGCAATGTAAAACCCAACCTGACAAATGGCTGCAGTTCTTTCCATTCCCACTTTGGCTTCTCCTGGAATAGTTTGGAAAACCGTTCAGCAGGCACTGATGACAGTGAAGAAACACTAAAAGCATAAATCCGAGTCTCTATCCCGATCTTTTCGGTCAAGACTTCTCCTTCTAGCACATCAAAACTTGCATTCATCCCTTCTGGAACTTTCTTTCTCCACTCCTCCATAAATCTTTCAAGTTTCATTTTTTCCCCTCTTAAGATTACTCTAGCAAAATGCACGCAAACTGGCCTTTCTTCCAACCTCCATGTGCAGCCTCCTCTAATCTCATCATCCACCTTACTTCCATAAACTCCCAAACAGTGCTTTACTATTTCACGAGGAAATCCATCTGCCTCTAGCACAGGCAAAACTTCATCTTCGTTTAGAGCACTTAAAAGCCAGTCATTCAGCACTGCATTATGCAAAAGCATGTTCAGAATCGCATCCACAAAGTTCTCATCTAAACTTCGCCAAAATCCATCTATCTCTACTGCTGCAAGAGCTCGCAACCCTGTGCACAGTTCCTCGTCACTGGCTTGCACCTTCTCAACAAGATCACTCCATGAATACAAGCCCTTGTTTTTGTGAGTCAATTCAGTATTCATTTGTGACACTTCATCAAAACTATAAGGGTTTTCTGAAAGAAGCAATTTGAGTTTGTCCAATCTAGGAGCAACCTCGACAAGTTCCATACTGCCAGGTACTACTTTGATTACAGAAGCAACCATCGCATTGTCATGATCCTTTTCACTTGAGTTTGGCGAAGCTCCAAGTGCGATCGATAGGTTGGAAGGGGGTATAAGGAATAGAGAATTAGAAGTTCCAACAAATTTAATGGCATAAGTTTTTGTCTGACTACAAAGAACTGCATCCTCATCTGGCTGCCCTCTTATTGTTACTCTACAGAATAAGAATAAATTCAACACAATCCAGATAAACAAAAAACACAAATTGAAGAACTTCACTGAACAATACCACCACGTACCTTTGATTGAGGATATCAGGTAAAAGCTTCTCATCAAGCTCAAGAAGCATTAAATCATCATGAGGACCAAAGAGCTGGTGATAAGCGATAGAGATTGAAGTATTAGGTTGAACATTTAATATTGCATCTGCTCCTCCTTCACCATAAGGTAGTGATTTTTCTATTTCCATCTTCAGGCCTAGGCTTCAAGAGAAACCTTTCCAATACCCCCAACAACCACAAAAAAAAAGTAAAAAAGAAAAAGAAAAAAGAGGGGAACTTTCCTTGTCTATAAAGTCCTCATAAGATAAATTTCTAGAGCAACAATACAAAGAAATTCTCTAGTAAAAACAAATACGAGCACAAACAGTCCTGTGCAGAATAGTTATCAGGATCAAAAACCCAGATGACGATAGAACTCAAATGACAGTTCCATTTTCATGCCACAACATGTATCTTCACTTGACCTGCAAGACAAAACATCTCCAACCTAAGTTGAATTACAAAACTAAACAAAAAATATTTGTTCTGAAAAATATGAGAACAGCATGAGCTGAATTTATTATTTTAATTTGACAACCTTTAATTTTGTTAAAGTCGAGGGTCTACCGGAAGCCACTTCTCTACACTCATAAAGGTAGGGGTAAGACCTATGTACATCCTACCTTTTTTAGACCCTGCTTATGGGATTTCACTAGGTATGTTGTTGTTCTTGTCGTCATGACTTGTTTAGTTCTGGTTTAAGGCAATGGCGAAATTTATCAACAAGGATTATATACTCATTAATTGTGCAGTTCTTACTGAACACAATGAATGAAAAAAATCATTTGATGGTCTTTAAGAGTTATAGTCCTATAAATTAGGAATTTCTGAAAGAATCAACTAAGAAAGTAACTCCTATCTGTAGAAGACCCAGAAGATAAAATATATTTTGAAGGTTGAACTTGTACAGAAAGTGATCAAATACAAAACCAATTCTATGAGATCATTTTAAAATCCAATTGAAAGTTTGGCAGAACTTAATCAGCTGAACACCGTAAAGATAGGGAAACTCAGCAAACATTTATGTATGTAGCATCGGAAAGAAGAAAAAACAAGACAGCATATGCATTCAAGTCAACTTCGAAATGAATACGGTTTTGGAGAAAATAATCTTCTAAGTTTGAGAAAAATAATCTGAGAAAACATAGATTTCCAACCGAAAATTTGGTGGCTTCTTCGGATGCCCTGTAAAGTTTCCAAGGATATGAGCCGTATTCTTGACGTGTTAAATTGCAGCAGCAGTTCGCAACAGTATGAGTTGATGAATGTAGTCTTCGTATCCCTAACCACAATTTTCCTGAAACTTTGATTACTTAAATAGTAGGTCAACTAGTAGTTATTATTTCAGAAGTCGCATTTCTTCTTGATTCTAAATTTCTTCGTCAAAGAAGTGGCTTTCTGAGATAATATCTATTAGTTGAGTGACTCTATGAGGAATCAACTAGGAGTTCTCTATTTCATACAAAAGCATATTATATAATCTGATATGAGTCACTTGATACTTTCTATCTTCCGAATTCCCAGAATGAATCATATGATTTTGAAATAGTACTTTGAATTCTTTCAAAAATTCATATTTTTTTCACCCATAATGTGATGATTCCTCCATTCTAATAACTTATCAACTTTAGAGCCAAAAAACAAACAACTTCAATTCTAATTCTGCTCTTACTAATAAAAAATATGTCAAATTAACTTCCTAAAACCTTGTGATTATTCAGATTTTGTTGCATCAGTATCTCAGCAAAAAGTTAATCAAATAGGGAGAAAGCAAAAAATGACCCAACTCTTCAAAGAGAATACAAGAGACCAAAATAACTAACAGTTTCTACAAAATAAAGCCTGAATTCTTTGAATAGACATTTGCAACCTTTTGTTGTCTATGGAAAACAACGAAATATTGGCCAATAATAAAAAAAGAACTCGTATCTAAATTCTTGTCATAATTGTTCATTTCTCATAGAACCGAATTCCTAAAACGTCAAATACTTGTTGTTCCAGATGAACTTAACAAGATCTCAAGCAATAGCAGCAAAAAGAAAGAAAAAACACACACACACCAAAACCATCAAAATGAACACGGCAAAACACAATCCCAAGTTGAAAATTTCAAAAACTATAAGCAGAAAAATTTACCCTTTTTTCCAAGGAAGTGATAATTGTGCGTTGATCTCCAATGGAGTTCAGTAGGGTTGAAGAAATTAATAGAGAGAAGTAGGGAAAGTATAGCTTTGGATTTTGGAGGGAAAATGGAAGAGATGAAAGAAAATTTCGCAATTTTTTGTTAAGCCCACTGTTATGGGCTTGGCCCTTATATTAGAAATTTTTGTGTTTGGACTATTATTAGAGCCCAAGTATGCGTATCATCATTGTCACAGGGAAACTTACATAAATAAATTTTATTAAAAAATATATTTATCATTTACAGCAATAATTAAGTAAATACCTCGTGAAAGAAAACTAATTACAAACATGTATACCCTTACATTCATACTCTACTAAATAATTACACTATATACAGACCAACTAATTTCGCTCAATTAATGCTAAATCAATATTTTATATTGGGCATAATACATAAATATGTTTTTTAAATTGACTTTGAATCACATTTATACCCTTTAACTTTGGGTATAAAATTGAACAAATAGACACATATATTCTACATGTCATTCCATGTGTCATTTTTTGTCCTATGTGTCATTTTTTGTCCTATGTGGTGTCTTACGTGTATTATGTCATGTATGACTCATGTGTTTATTTATTTAAAAGTTGAATAGTTAAAGGTCTGTTTATGCATTATGAAAGTTGGAGGTCAAAATTAAAATTTGAAACAAAGTTTAGGGTCTAATATATGTATTATGTCTTTATATTTTATTGATATCGTTAGACTGATAACTTCGCTTAACTGATATCATATAGTACTATATTGATACCATCAAGGCATATAATTTCATTTAACAAACATAAAATCAATATATACACACTGTATTGATGTATGATACTGATAAATACAAATATTTTTAAATCAAATATTTTCGTTTATGTATTAAAAAAAAGTTTGAGAAAACATTTTCTTTTCATATCCAACACACACCCTAATAAGGCACAAAATTTTTAGGAAAAATTGTATATAATAGCAAACTAATAACCTAAAATAAATAGAGTAGCTAGGGTTTGATTTAATTGTGCTCCATAGCAAACGTTTGCAAAAAATTGTCAGGCGCCTCTCTCCCAAATATCTCGCTCACCACTCTCCTCCAATCTCTCGCTCGCTTCTTCACTTTTTATACAAATACAAGTGTATAAAAATTGTTTCTAATTGTATAAAGTAGAGAAAATTATATAAATACATATTTTTTTGTTCCCCTCTCTCCCCTCTTCCAGATCTCGCTCGTCACTCTCCCAAATCTTGCTCGCCACCCGCACCTTTCTCACTTATACAAACTGAAGCGAAATGTATAAATTGAGTTATCGTTTGTATAAAGCGTGAGAAAATTGTATATACACATGCAATTACATATATTTTCGTCCTATACACTTATAATTATACAATAAAAATACTCCCCTGCCCAATTTCTTCTGCCTTTTTCTCTTTCTCGTTTTATACAATTTTCAAATTGTATATAATTTCTTTCTTTCTTGTTTTATACAATTCGATTCAATTGTATATTCTTTGTCAAGTCTCTTTTGTCTTTCTTTCTTTTTCATTTTATACAAATTCAAATTGTATATAATCATTCTATGCACTTATAATAATACAATTCGTTTTATACACTTCATTTTTATACAGTTCTATACTCAAGTGTCTTTCTCTTTCTTGTTTTATACACTTCGTTTTATACAATTTACTTCAACTGTATATGTATAGCGAATTATACAGTTTCTACGTTTGCTATGGAGCGTAATTATGCAAACTTTGCTATAACATACAAAAATGAATTTTTTATTTAATATATGTGAAAGTTATCCTAATTTCAGGAATAAGAAAAGGTAACAGTTGAAAAACTAATTCCATGCGCACGATAAGACAGTCTAGTAGCTACAAAATAATAATTTGGTCCGTAATATTACAATTTTATTCCAATCCTATTGTTGCATATAGATCAACTAATTTTTATACATTATTTGAGTCGAAGATCTTTCGCAATAATAAGATACTAAAAATTAAAATTACGTATATTTTACTTTTCTGACTTATAATTTATTGGATATGTGGTTGCTTTTTGTGCCTTTCTAGCACATAGTCAAGGACCAATTGTCCCATCACCATGATGTTTCAACACCAAGTGAATCTTTAGAACACTAAATAGCCCAAAAAAGCAAAAGATTTGGCCATTAATTTCTAAATTGATTAGATTGGTCATGAAGGTTCCAATTATTTAGGACAAGCAAATTTAATATAAGATTACTTTCATTAGTTCTTACGTAAGTTATATCTCTCTTATTTACTATACTTGCAATATATTGTGTGTATTTAATAGGAGGAATACATTTTTCATAAATTATTGGTTAAAAAATAAATAAATTTCTTAAAAGTAAGAAAAAAAATTGTATATGAGAAATCTAAAAAAAATAATCATTTTTTTTCTAGTAGGTGACTCCCTCTACATATTCAGTAGTATACACTGCTTTGATTGTAATAATTAATAATAATAAATGGATGGATTTTTTTGTTGGATACTCATCTTTAGCACATAGATACTCATCTTTAGCACATGGATTTATATATCCTTTCAGATGAAAATTGACCCTGCAAGTGTATTAAGACAATAATTTGTAATATAAATTATTTCACTTTTACTATCATTAAAGCTATGATAGATGGAATATCGTTGTTTTTTTCTTACCTAAAGATTAGAGTTTTGAGTATGAAAAATTTTCATAGAATCTTTCGTCTGAATAAATCTTAACTGACACAAATTTGAATTAATTAGATTCGGTGAAATTTTTTTTTAAAAAACGAATTATTTCATGGATGTCCAATATCGTATATCTCCCATGTTCTCTTGTTATCCTCCCAATTAATGACATATTTTTTTATATTGCATATATTATATATATATAATTGGTTGACATGTTTCCGTACCTCCCATGTTCTCTTGTTGAAACTATCTAGCAAAGTAGAATTACTTAAAATAACAGACAAATATAAAATAAAATTGAATACTTTGCAGTGAAATTAACAAAAACAATAGACTTAGTTTTAGCAATATATCATTAAGACGGATCATATTATAAATTCTTTAACATAACTCGTAAAAATTTATAACATGAAAATATAAATTTAAACTACATTATTAATAAATTATTTATCATGAGAGATAAAAATTAAAAATCGACACAAAATAAAGGCAAAAGTGCAAATGACTTATCAATTTTTTTTTAGTCCAAGTCCACATCAATGACTTTAAGTAGCAACATGAAAATGTTTCCAGGAAAAAGGGAGCTGGAATGGAAGGGAAGTAGTTGGAAATCGATCCCACAAAATTTATGGCTACATACACTTTCTGTGTCTACAATTGTTTGTCAGGTAAAGTCATGCATTTTTTTAAGAAAAATTTTATACAAAATGTAATTTAATTAATATAACTTTACGATATCAAGAATATCAAAAGTCTACATAATTTTTTAATTAAACAAAATGAAATAATTATCAAAGACAAAATACCCTTGAACTATTAAAAATAGTGCAAAATTATCCTCCATCCATCTTTTAGTCCTAAAATACCCTTGCTGTCTACCTTTAAGTCCTATATTACCCTTTATTTTTAACGGTCACTTTTTAAATCCAATTAATAAATTAATTAATGACGTGGCAATTTTCTGTTGGTCAGATTTTAAATAGTTTAAGGGTATTTTAGGCCCTTTTCCATTAATTATTTAAATTAACAATTAATTTTAAACATATATTTTTTATATATCTGTCAAACAATTAAGAAAGAAGGGAGAATATATTACGATATTCATTTGCCCATTCATCTGGATATTTGTTGTCTTAGATAATCTCTTTGCTACACGCTTTTTTTAAAAGCAATTATTGTTCTTTATTTTTATTTGTTTAATATGAATTTGATGTAATTTTCTATTGAATAAATTAAAAAAAAAATTGTTATTCTTTAAATATAATAAAGTCAATAGTAAAAAAGCGTATTGGAATTTGAAAATGACTAAAACTAATAATAAAGGGAATATATTTAGTGCTATTACTGATCTTATGCAATTAATATACTCAGTCGGTTTCTTTTTATTTATCCATTTTTTATGTATCCCTTTTTGTTTGTTATTTTTTGATAAATTAAAAAATAACAATTTTTTAAATTTATTATATCCTCGATTTATTACTATTAAGTTAATGTTTCTGTAAAATATAGTGAGTAGAAATATCTGGGATCTTATCAGTTAGATAAACTGATAAATTTATTATAACAATTAATATTTTTCAATATGTGTGTCAAGTTAAAATTTGACAATTAAAAAATAACACACGGAATAACTTTGTCTTTTTTAAATGCTAAATTAAAGTGAAATATGAAAATCATTACAAATAATATGAAATGACTCATTGTTGTTCATATTGATCTACAATTGACAAGAGTTACAATATATAAAAATTTCAATAAAATGCAAACTTAAATTAGATTTGAAATTCTACTTCATTATTTCAAAAATCGAATATCCAAATTAAAATTTTCGTATCTAATTTGATAAACCGAAACACAGCCAAGTACAATGTCTCAAAACCTTATTCCTATATTTGAAAAGTGTTTCAACAGTCAACACTATATATACAATTGATGAAATGTGGTATCATTCATGAATATTTGAAAATTGATAAGCTTGCGTCTAACTTTATCTTAGCTATTAGGTTATATATACATGGAGATACACCTAATTTAGTTGAAAAATTGCCAAGTTTGATAAGAATCTAATTGAAGGCAACAACATGCATTTATATCTATAGACATATATTTGCTGGCATATGTTTTCTAGTATCAAACTACCTCCTTCACTGCCCCTAATGATACAACGACCTCACATACATCATGGGTTACGCAAGAGGGAGCACGAATCAGAATTTTTATTAAGAAAAAAATAAAATAATTGGCCATACAAAAGAAAGTATCTAGATATTTATTTTACTTGTTTATACGATATAAATTCTTCGTGAAAAAATGTCAATAAACACGTGTCGATATGATGTGGGCCCCACCATTAGGGTATTTATATTTATTTATATGTACATCATGTACAAGACTTCT